AAGAAGGATCCGTACTCTAGAAGCCAGCGTTGGAATACCTTGGCACCCTTCAACTTTTCAGATACATTCCACCGTGGTAGGAGACATCGAACTACATTAATCGTTAGTAGCAGGCTCGTCAGCTAACAAACAAATTTGTTCAAAAACGTCTTTTCTAAATTAATAGTCCCAGAAGTTGGCATCACACGGTCCATGTCTAGCACAATGTTTGGCGGGGACAATATTTCGATTAAAAACAAAAAACTGTAGGAAGAAAAACTGTACAACACAATGGACAGCCTGCAAAAGAACGCTCCGAGCTTTAAAAAAAGGTTCAGTTTTCTCCCTTCACATCTGCACTGAAAACAAATCATTGGAAGGGGAACATGTCAAAACCACCCTGCTACTTTAAAAGAGTAGTTCAGTTTAACAGCGATGCTAATAGGTTTCCATTCAGTGAAAACTTAATGGAAAACTAAAATCCAAACCAGATTTTCGTTGACGATGCCATCTGAAGCTGCGAAAAACGCCAAAACGCGAGAGATGAAGAAGCGTTCGTTTCCGTCCAACTTCTCCCAGTCAGCCATATCTTTCGCAAGATCGACCTGAACCAGGAGTCTAACTAGACTTCACATCGAACGATGACAATGACAACGACCGACCTCCTCCACAGTCCAGAAACATGCGACAGCTTTTTTGTAGAAAGCCCATATATCGTGATGGTTGAGTGGGAAGATTACGAAGCGATGGGGATTTTCAACCAGCAAAGGTTCTTCCTGATCAACTGAGTAATTTTCAATCTAGAAAGTGACATTCATTACCTAAATTCCTTACAAACACAAATAAAACTGTATTTGTCGAAAGCTGAACACACTATTGACAGCAGCATCAACAATCAAACAAAGATTTACCTTTGAAAACTCTTGTACGGAGAGCACCACGCACTTCTCGCCACTAATTTCCTAAACACCACGTCTACTATATAAGATATCGAAGAGTAAAAAAGGGTCCTTGTATAACTCACAATATTTTCTTTCTCTTGAGCACAGCTGTTTATCTGTGATTTCTCCATTGAAATTTCCTAAATGCTAATGTTTACACTGGATATTGAGGAGAGACCAAAGATCTCGTATATAGCCTGCAATTCTCAAGACCGACCTTTCATCAAGTTCGGATTTGATAAATAGCTCCCTACATTCTTCATGAACACACATAAGGTTCTTATTATCTACTGTTTATCAACAGCACCTGGTCTCTCTTCGGATTTCGCATTCTTCTGAGCCAAGAAAGGTCAAGAAAGGCTCACTGGAAGCAAGTGAGTCAAAGACCTCTGCAAACTCGAAAGAAGAATCACGGCATTTAATCTGCAGTCGCATTGGATATAAAACAGCTTCTTTTTCACATACTCAGCGCCCTCTGTGGGACAGAGACCACTTGTATTGAACTGCGTTTCCGAGCACGGCGTTATACGCGCCCTGGTGACCCTGGTATGACATATACCAAATATACGAAAAATGTATATGATATAGTAAGTAATGATATAAACGTAAAAATAACATAACACCACAAATGCGCTGGGGTCCGCACAACTCGTGAAGACGGACCCTCCAAATAACCAAGAAGTAGTATAACGTGACAAAACAATAGTATAATACGAACAACAGTGTAAATACATCAAATACATTATATGTAAATATATATACATTAGTAACTGGATTCCTCAGAATGTCAAACATACCGCAGAAAGACCACCGAGCCGATGGTCAGAGTTCTTAACGACGACCTTGGAAGAAAGAACGCTCGACGAGTCCTTATAACGAGTGGAACCCACTGGCCTACACTTGCACGCGACAAGGAAAAGTGGAAGATTTACTGGGGCTCGCTCGAATCACTCGACGAACAACAGGATGATAGATGATGCAAGTGATATATATGCACACAAATATATATACATATATAAACATATGTCCACACAAACATACACGTATATATATATATATAAATATCTTATACATTTTATAACAACCTCGTGTGTGCTTAACAGGAAAACAGAGAGTAACTTACAATGTTTTTCTTCGTGAGCACTGCCTCTCACTCGCGACTTCTTTTCTTTCATTTCCCAAACTTTATCATTACTATATAGAGCAGTGAGGATAAGTAAAAGCTTTGTACAACTTCAAAATCTTTTCTCGTAAGCTTTTTCGTGGAATCCCTGGTTTGTCCCTACTAAATCCCTCAGTGCTACGTTTAACACATTACGATAGTGAACAAGCAGTGAGGAAATCACAGATAACTCACCGTACAATTGCTCTTCTGAGCGTTTTCGTCTATTCGTCGCTCTTCAAGCGTCATCTACAAAGGAAAAACCTTGAAAAGAAGCTAGTTACACGTAAGCATCTACGCCACTAACAAGTAAAAATATGAACATTCGATAGTTGACTGGGATAAAAATCGATAGAAGGGATTCGAAACGAAGTTACTACTCTTACTGCAAAGAACAAACAACNNACATATATAAACATACGCACACACACATATATATGTGTATATATCTCATAGCTTTTATAATAACAACCTCGTGTGTGCTTAACAGGAAAACAGAGAGTAACTTACAATGTTTTTCTTCGTGAGCACTGCCTCTCACTCGCGACTTCTTTTCTTTCATTTCCCAAACTTTATCATTACTATATAGAGCAGTGAGGATAAGTAAAAGCTTTGTACAACTTCAAAATCTTTTCTCGTAAGCTTTTTCGTGGAATCCCTGGTTTGTCCCTACTAAATCCCTCAGTGCTACGTTTAACACATTACGATAGTGAACAAGCAGTGAGGAAATCACAGATAACTCACCGTACAATTGCTCTTCTGAGCGTTTTCGTCTATTCGTCGCTCTTCAAGCGTCATCTACAAAGGAAAAACCTTGAAAAGAAGCTAGTTACACGTAAGCATCTACGCCACTAACAAGTAAAAATATGAACATTCGATAGTTGACTGGGATAAAAATCGATAGAAGGGATTCGAAACGAAGTTACTACTCTTACTGCAAAGAACAAACAACACAAAATGTTGATGAAACAGCAGACGGACAATCGGCGGCATTCGGAGACGCGCCTTCCCGCCGTACTTGTCCATTCAAATTCTCCCGCGCATGCGAAAGTACCCCTTTGTTGAGCCTTTACTCTGGAGCAACGTTACATCGTCGTTTATCCGTTTGTGGAAACGTATTTTTGAAGTCGTTAGAATTTGCGTCCTAGGCTTTTTCTTCTACTTTCAGGTTTATTTCATACAAGAACAAAGTATTGAAGTTAACTCTTGTGTTTATTACCTGTTATTACTTGTATTGAATACATTGTTGTGCTCAAAACATTGAAGCGGTTAACCATTAGCATTTCGGAACTAAACAAATATATCGTAGATCATAATGGACTTTACTGTTTGAATCAAGAGAATAAAGGATAAAGCTCTTGACGTTGACAAATCCTTAAGGGTTGCGTCATGCTTTCAACTTCATTAAGTATCGTTGGAGGTGGTTGAATGCATATCTGGCCTTTACAATGACTCGCAAATTTGCCGACCGCCGGAGTGTTGGAGTCTTGGTTGCTGGGATCGATTTCGTGTGTGTGTAGCAGTGGTGCCTCAAACCGCTGCGCCACACGCCCAGTTGAATCAAAAGCCATTGGAATTTACAGATCTTGTTCTCTTATTCTGGAAAGATATGATTCCCTTATTTTAATCTGTGACACTTTTTTTTCTTGCTTTTCCTTTTTTGATTATTGTTTTGATGCTCGTACTTTTTGCTTAAAATCAAATGAAGGTAAGGTACCACATACTTCGTAACCTATTTAGTAGTGTATATACTTCCTTAATTACTTGATACGTGAACGGCCCGTAGTCACTGGTTCTGCGAGTTCCAGCATAATTGTCATTTTTCGGAGATTTGTTGGTTAAGCCGTTGTGGTCACCAGGAATCCCGAGGTCAGCCTGTATAAAGTCTGCCTCAGGTCTTCAGCACCGCAGGAAGTCGCAGCCCTTATGGATTAGAGGGATATTTGCCACCATACGACTTTGATACCAGGACGGTGGTGGATACTGGTATTTGTTTACTCTTAGTTTGGCTTCCTGATGGAAACGCCGGGCTCCTTCTCAGCTTGGGAGACCCTGCCGAGGGGACGGAACCCCCGCTGTAAGTCGCAGTCCTACACCCAGGAACACCTCCTAGCCACGATGAGGCGGTTCAACGTGTTAATTAACTTTTAACTGAAAGAAACATAAATAATGGACAACGATATCTTCGTTTCCGTCCAATATAAGCTGACTTGTCTGCACTAATTTATAAAATTTTCAAACTCACTCAACTGATTTCCTCCTACCCATACTCCATGAAATGCTTTCGAACTGCGAGCTTCGTGGTTCCTGCTTTACGATTTTCTGTTTTCTTCATTAACTTCACTGAATACCGGTTGATAACATTCTTTTCGGAACACTGGCGTAATCGTTCAACGGTTTTTCATGAGGAGTGAGTTGATCCCAGACAAATCTGATACAGTTTTCTGAAGCCTGGGGAAGCTAAGCCTGGTGGGCAGAGAACCGAGTCGAACTGGCACCTTTCTCACAGTGAGCAGCGGCAGTATCACAGTGCCACCTTCAGCGAAGTCAAGTTTTACAACGAGGTCCGTTTTTCTCTCTAATGCTCTTCCAACAATTAAATAGGTTACGAAGTATGTGGTCTGAAATTATCAAAGATTATATTAGAAGGGGAAAATACAACAATTATGCAAGCGGTGTAATAAACGAATAGTCGGTGGTTTCATCACGTTGTTGGTCAAGAAAGCTTTTCATCCATCAGCAGGTTGTTATTAGAATTTATCGTGAAAAGCTTCCACAGAACCAGAAAGGAAGGTGAATAGCCTTTGTGGTGAAGACAGGGAGTTATACTACAGATAGCGCAGGACTCTAGTAGAAATCAGCTCAACCATTTTGCAACGAATTTGATAAAGAAGACAAAATCTTCAAAAGGCTGATCACGGAACACATAAATCTAAAGAATTTCTTGACCGAAGGATGCTAAAGAAAGCGCTCAAAGGAGTAAAATTCTGGGATCTTTCGATGAAGGGCCTTCAAAAAAAAAAATAAAAATGATGCTACAGTGGCGGATGTTTATGAGCTTCAACTGATGTTGATTGAACGAAGTATTAGGTCTACGGAAATTGATCTTCAATTTCGGCCCACGTTTCAAAAATGATGTGTCCCAAATCAGAATAGAATCGAAGTTAAATCGAAAAGATCAATAAATCAAAAACTGTTGGCTGGTGCCCTTTTGTTGACCGATGCTAGGTGCAGCCGTTGAAGTTTCTGGTTCATTTTGTTGCTTTTCTAGACGTGTTCCTCCGCCGTAATCATTTCACTCGGATTCCGGTAGCTGTGATGTCTTAAACCACAAGTGAATTAACAAACGTTCAGCGTGACCTGCTCTTGGTGCAATTACGGATTTGGGTTGAAATGCAGAGCTTCATCGTGGTCGAAAAGTACTCTCGTAATTGTCGGTTATCTCGTTCTGAAAAAGACTCAAAAAGTCTCACTCTACAAGTGACCGATTGGAGTTAGCTGGAGAGTTAGTACCTTCTTTACCGAGTTACACCGCCCATTTCTCTCGGCGTTTATAATTATAGTTCTATTGGAACATAAATATAAACTGATTTGCGTAATTAACAACGTACAGTGGTGACTGTCTTCGTATACTTCGCGTTGTATGGGATGGTTGGTCAGTAGAATGTCATCGTTCGCGAAAAGCAGTCGTCACTCTTTATTTTTTGCTCTTCTTCGCAAGCGCATCATGCACACCTGCATTAAGAAAATCCTTAGATCCGCCGGAACTTTTTCCTGAATTCAAAAGGTACGATAATTCGTGAATTTGTTGTGAAGTTGCTATGATTCGTTGTTTCGCTCCCAGAATAATGTTTCTGTCTATTGGAAGGCAGAGGAGATCACCCATATATTCGTTGAATCTGTGGAACGGCTTGTAAGGCTTCACCAAGAATAATTCGCTTTTTTCATGATACTTGATACTGGAACGGCCCGTCTTCATTGGTTGTGCGGGCTCCAGCATAGTCACCATTTTTCGGAGACTTGCTGGTTAAGCCATTGTGGTTCCCTGGAATCCCAAAGTCAGCCTGGCCAAAGTCTGCCCCAGGCCTTCACCACCACTGGCAGTCGCAGCCCTTGTGGATCAGAGAGAGATTTGCCGCCATGGGACTTTGATACCAGGACGGTGGTGGATCCTGGTATTGGTTTACTCTTAGCTAGGCTTCCTGATGGAAACGACGGACTCCTCAGCTTGGGAGACCCTGCCGGGGGGACGAAACCCCCGCTGTACATCGCAGTCCGATACCCAGGAACACCTACCAGTCACGATGAGGCGGTAAACCGTTGGGAGGGTTTTCTTGATAAGCCTCAGTAATAGTCCGTGAAGGATTAAACTTCAATGGATTTCTACCTATCATATGTTCAGGCATACTAAGTCATATAAAGAGGTTTTTATCGTAAAAATTGGTCTATGGTTGGGGTTGATGTCGCGACATAGGACTCGTTTTATTAAATGTGTGATTAAACATGTGTAGCACCTGCTTTCGTACATTTTTGTCCAACTGTTACGAGTAAAAGTAGTTTAAACCAACATTCACATAGACAGGACACCTACTTTCTCCTTACGTAGAAAGATCGCCCTATTTGAAATATTTGTTAGGTATTAAGTATTAAAGCAATTTCGTCACCTTGAATGTTGACGGAGTTGTGTTACTTGTGCACTTAACTTGGAAGTTCCAAATTTTGGCATACAATCGACTTTGTGTGGCCCAAGGCGATATAAGATTGACAAACTTAGGTATCAGTGCATATAAATAGGTTTTATCCTAATATGCTTACCTGTACAACATCGGACGACTAATTGAAATTATTTGCTGCGATATTCGCAGGACTCTGGACCGCTGGTGTCTGTGGTGGGAACCGAACACGCTGCTACCTTTTCCGGGGGCTAACCTGTTTACCACCACACCATAGTGGTCCTTCATTTCGCCTTTTTGTCAGCCGTGTTTTATACGCGCTATTCTGTACTCGCATGGCATGGTGGTGAACGCGTTAGCCCTCAGAAAGGTAATAACGTGTTCGATTCTCACCACAGACACCTGCACTCCGGAATTTTGCAGATGTCTCAGCATCGTTGTGGGTATATTTCGCATCCGGAGAGGAAAAAAGCCACACAAAGATGAGTTCAGCGGAAACAAGGCCCAGTTTCACCTGCCCTCTATCTTCGACAAAGGACAGCTAAAAAGCGACACTTGAAATGACCAACATAGAGGATTCAGTACTATTTTTTGAAATATCACCAGTGCTATAAGACATCAGCTAGTTCAAATCCGCTTTTATGATTTATGTACAATGCAAAATCACATGGTTTACTCTAGCTGGAGAGGGTGATTGAAGGAGTTTGGGCACGGTGTAGATGATTTCTAGTAAAGCGTGCGAGGAAGGCTATATTAGTGGAACGGGTAAACAATTCTGTATCCTGGTAAACGAACACCTAGACCCCGAACTTGATTTTAAACCAAATACTCCACTAAGCTCCCGTTGGACAGGAAGACTTAATGGAGATTTTGAGGTAGAAGTGAACATCCTCGCGCAGGAATTTGAAAGATCACGAAGTAGAACTCTCGAGAGATTTCGAATAATTTCCAAAAATCCAGAAGTGAGAGCAAGGATGAGGTCCCCGTGATCGCATGTGACCTTGTTCTGTGACTTCGGGCCAGCAAAACAAAGCTCAACAGAACAGAAATGATAGTACCGCTAAAAGATCGCATGCGAAGTGGACGAAAAGCAGCATTTCGTCTTTGGGAAGCCTTTTATGTATT